CCGGGCCACCCAAACTCCTACCCCGGCGCCCAAACTCCTCCCCCGGCGCCGGACCGGCGCCGGGTCAGTCAAGAATAATTGAATTCAATTTTCGTTTTGTTTACTTAGTGGTGAAAGAAAATATTAATGCAACTTTAGACGGAGACAATCCTTCAGATGTTCATTGGTCATTTCAACAATGCTTGCTAGGCATCTTCTTTGTCGATGGAGGTCTGACACCAAGTTTACGTCCGGGGCCCGGCGCCGGGTGCCGGGAAGCTTCCGTTGACTGACTGAATGATGTATTCAATTCGTCTGTCGTCAATAATAGTTGTAACTTGTGTGGTCTGTTGAGCTGGCCCAGACTGACCCGGACTGATTGACTGATTGCATTTTTACTTTTTCGTGCAATGGCAATTTCTGGTCGGCCCGCCGAACCACCCAAAGAGGAGTGGAACCGGGTGACGTGGCAAATATTTATCAATTCTATTTTATGATTTGAACGGCTAAACCCACCAAGACATCATTACGACAGTCGAACAGTTTTAGCGACGCCAAGGCTGCCGTGAGCAATGTGCAGTTTCAGATCAAATTTGTGAATGACAACCTGGTCAAGTTCCTGCAAGCCAACGGCAAGTTGCGTGCAGTGGGGATAGACAAAGCGAGTTCCATCAAGAAGTTGGTTGACATTCCGCCGCTGAAACTGATCAACGAAGGGGCTGAGAAGCCGAGCAGTGAGTCGTCTTACAAGGAGATGTTCCACAAAGAGCGATGTTTGACCAGCTTGACTCCTGATAGGATTCTGCTAACTCCTTTACTTTTTTAGATTTGTCAATAGCAACTGTATTATTCAATTCATATGTCAGAGTCAGTTAATTGACTCTGACTCAATTGGTCATTCAGAATATTAATGTCACTGAGGACGCACTTGGAACTATATGAAGCAGGGGGCTCCGTTTTTTTGGCTTGACCACAACTCGAAGTCAGACACCTGGTTGTCTTTTGCAGATGTGGATGATTGGTCATACACATGGACTCAAGTAAATGCAGAACGCCGATTGATTGCCCCCGTGACCTTCATTGTCGGCATGACTGAAGATGGTATGAAGAACATCCATGCCAATCTTTGGTCTCTTGTAGCTGGACATGGTGTCTTTGATAAATTGGATTGATTTCGCATTTTATTCAATTGCGGGGGGCTATTTCTGTGTGATCTGCCAATTAAACAGTCATCCAAGTTTCTGGCGGAAACTCAGGTGCTTTGCAGGGGTTTTACCTCGTTCTGGCACGGGCAATGTCTCAAGGTGATGTCAACAGGGCCGTGGCGGTGCTCACAGCAGGTTTGACGGTGACAATCCGGATTCACCTCTTGCCCAAGTCTGACCCTGAACAAACGTTGGCAAAACTCAGATTGGTCAGGTCTTGGCGAGTTGGCGCCGTCTACCTTGCGCTGGATGAAATGGTTCATCGCCTCGTATGACATCCAGAAGTCTGACCAGAACACCATCAAAGACCTGGCTTCCAAGAAGTACACCTTTAGCGGAGGAAGGCCCGTGAACAAGAGCGTGCTTGACAGTGCCCTCATAGTTCGCCAGGCCGGCCTGACTGAAGAGTGCATGTTTGACCTTCTGTACTCACTGGAGAAAGAATATAAGATGAACGGTCTGACCAACAGCCACTCGAACCTTCAGCGGGTTTGTATGACCGTTCGCAAGTCCATGGCAGAGATGGCCCTGGCTGACAGACTGGCCGACATGGAGTACTCTGCGCCTGACTTGCCATCCGAGATGCCGCCAAATCTTGCGTCTGGCAGCAGCAAGGGCACAGACAAGACTTTGAAGGAGGGGGTGTATTTCGTGTTTGCTTGCTTGAAGAGCCAGCTTGACGGGAAGTGTCTGCAGCCAAATGAAGTGACCGGCGATATTTTGGAGAGCTTCTGCCAGGTGTCCATGGCAAAGCTTTGCCTGATACACTTCATTGCAAGTGTTGTCAGGGTCCTTCCGTCTGACGACAAGGACTGTGCTTATTGACAAGTGTTTAGTTTTAAATAACTTGTCGCTTAACTCAAGTCAGACGGAGAAAGTTTAATTGGCTGACAGGCCAGGTGATGGTTTCGAGGCTTTTTTCAAGGTTTGTTCAGTTCCCTTTCTGTTCCCTTTCTCAGGATGACAAAGCCCTGCGAATGAACATGCTCAAGTCCGTGCATGTGTCGCTCAACCCTCTGAAGTGGTGTGAGCTCAATGGATCCAAGGCGGGTGAAACTTCAGCGGATTTTGCGAAGGACTATTTGAAGGTGACTGAGTTGCCTGACGCTTTGGCGAAACTCCTCGAGAACCTTGAGGATTTGATCTCACATGCTAGGGATGAGGACTGACATACACATTTCTGAGTCAGTTTGAATCATAGGTGAGGAAATTTACATTTAAAAAGCTCAACTAAGTTGAGAATGTCCACCCCAGTTGTTGACACACAACAGCGCGCAGTCTGATGTGAGCCCTGGATTAGGACATTGACAATACTTGGCGAGCATCCCAGCCTGACAGAATTTGTTGGCACAGTCTTTAGGGGCACAGACTCGAGCCTGACCAAGCTGGAGTTGTGCAGAACGTGGCGTTCATGGTACAAGGAGGTTGCCGGAAACAGCAAGAAGGTGGTCTCGATCCTTGTCAGCAATTAAATTACTGTCAGTCAGGCATGGTTCTGTACACCGACTAGTGGGGTTGCAGTAGTGTGTAAATATGACTGACAGTTTGACATTATAAAACCTGTCACCTGTCGATGTTGTGAGAGAGTCTGAGGGCCACAGCTGTTCCCACAATCGATTTGATTGAGAAAGCTGCCAAGTCTGACAAAGATCCTGACCAAGTGTGGAAACAGGCATGGCTTTTAAAGTCAGGATGATTAAATTAGTCCACCATTTTTCAATAATTCACGTTCTTAATAAGGCTTAGATTTTTGACTTGATCACTTCCCCTGAATGCAGGTGTCTGAACGCAGGCTTGCCGTTGTGCGCTTTCACTCTGCGCCTGAAGCGACTTGGGCGTCGATGCCACAGGTGCTCGGCATAGAAGGGTGCCACAGACCAAGAAAAGGTTCCTCAAGGGCAGGGGCAGAGCCGGAATACTTCATCGTCTCAAACTTCAGAGGAACATTCGCTATAGACTCCATCGAAGTGCAATCCACCCGGTGATGTCGTGGGGAGCACAGGCCACAGGACTAGCTCACAGCGGAGACAACAGCTCCGGGTCTTGGCGGCCAGAGGTCTTCAACTCCAGCGGTCAGGATCAGTTGATGTCGTCTACGACATGAACCCCTCAATCATCCAGCAACGTATGCTCTCGGTGTGGAAGATATACCACTCGTTTGATGAGAGCACACAACATCTGTTCTGGACCAGCTGGAACGTTGCCCTTGGCGCACTTCAGAAGGCAAGGTATCGATGGCAGGTGGTGCATGGTCCCCTTCAAGCTCTACAGGCCTATTTGCTGGACTACGACTTCGATTTGTCCAATGGGAAATCCTGGAAGAGAACAGGATATGGCGGCATTCCTGACTGTGTCCTTTCACTGGAGGAGAGCTGGCCCTTGATCCAACACAAGTTGCAAGAGGAATTTCGTTGGCAACGGTTGTTGCGCCTGACCAGGCACGAGGGCTGCCGCGATCTCGAACGGCAGTTGGACTGGCAAGTCTCGCATGTCATCCAAAAGTACACGGACGACCGTTTGGGCCCAGCTTTGAGAGCACTTCATCAGGGAACCCTTCATGGATTGTCAGGCACTTGCCCACTATGTGGAGTTGAACTGACCTTCAAACATGTCCTCTGGGAGTGTCAGTTTTGGACAGGGAAGGCCAAGGAATTGCCAGAGCAATGGAAGCAGAGGTTGGCAGCTGGCACTGAACCAGAATTGTGGCAACGAGGCACGGTGCAGTCCATTTTCTACATCCAGAAAGGCGGCGTGGGCACCTTTGTCACGGAAGGTCTTTGGACACCGCAGGAGGTCAGACCCCTCCTCTTTGGCAAACAGGAGGTGGACTCCAACGATACAAGGAGAGCCTTCCAACAGGATGCTGACAGGTTGGCCAAGCGCTTTGCTCATGAGTCCCGGAATGAAGAGATCCTGGACTTACAGAAGCACATTGATGAGGACGTTGCGGGGGCGAGAATGCGCATTCTGCTGGAGGACCGCTCCCACTTCTTGCACCAGAGTCAGAAGGGCCACATGGATCACCGATGGTGCAACAAAAGAAGACCATCCTGGAACAGTTGCTGGCGTTTCCCACTCAAGGAGGGCACCTCTGGCAGGTCTACCGGTCCGGAGTTCGATGTCAGCAAGAGCTTGATGGGTGAATTGCGGCCGGCTTTGACATCCCAATGTGAGCAGGCTACTCCACAGACCAGGCCAAAGCAGACAAGATTTGAGATCATTGGTGATCTCATCAGTGCTCAGGAAGGGGTCCAACCCGGTGTGCATCACCTACGCTTAGACAAAGCGTACTTGCGCTGTACAGAATGTAAATCATACATTCTTGCAAGGTGTCGAGAAGATGCATTCAACACGTTTGTTGGCAGCCCATGCCATGTTGGCCTTCTCACGGACAGCCAATGGAGCGGACACCCATCACACACGGTGATGCGCCAGGGCTCCAATCTTTCATGCTTGAGATGCCATGGCCGCTGCAAAATCAGCGAGCAGAGCATTGAGCTGACGGAGAAACTGCGCAAGCCCTGTCAGCAAGGAGGGTCACAGGACCCTCGAAGGTGGTTTAACTAGGTTCCTTGCAGCACTTGCAGGCACGCGGAAAAGGGCGAGCAAAAAAAAAAATGTATGTATGTATGTATGTATGTTGATATATTGTGCCCCGCAAAGTCCATGCATTGAAAGGTATTGCAAACACATTGAATTGGTAGATCTTAGGGGGTTATCATATATGTATATATATATATATATGTGTATACTTGCACATAGACACCCTTGTTCTGAATCGTTTTGATTCGAGAAGAATGGTTGAGCACTTACCAGGTATGGATGGACGCATCCAGTGCGTGCTGGAGCTCGAGCGCCTCTTCAAGATCCGTTACTATTGGCCACCTCTTGAGGCAGGGAGCAGTTGCCACACACATTTGGCTCCGACCAATCCAAAGATCCAAAGAGCTTCGGGCATGTCGCTGGGCAGTGTTGGCGCGAGTACTGTAAAGTTATGGCGCTGAACACGTTTCTGCCAAGCACCCTAGGGTACATGCAGAAACTAGGCAATGTGAGGTCCCAGCCCTGGTTTGCAGTCTAGAACAATATGTCAAACTAAAAGCCAGGTATGGCAGGTGATGGGTCTTTAGTGATGACTCGCGGAGCCGAAGTGCAAGGCCTCTGAGACAGTTTGGCTTGAAGCCCTGATGGTTGTGAAGGCGCGCTGCCCAGAGGCCTGTCCAGAGAGACCCTTGGCTGGAACGATGCGGGGCAGTCGTCATTGCATGTCATTGCGATATCACGCGCGTCCGGTGTTTGATCCCACCGTTTTATCGATTCGCACCGCTTTACACCGCGCCGATTCGCACCTACAAGATCCCCGTTGCTAGTCATTTATTATTGTTGTTTTACTCATTTACCGTAATCTAAAGTAACATCACCCTACTATTGAAGGGGTTGCTGTCAAGGAGACACCTATTTCAAAATGCAACATGTTCATTCTGGCGCTTGAAAAGGCATAACAACAAGAGTCATTAAGAAGAACATGTTGGACGTCATGAAGAAGCATAACAAAGGTAATTATCAAGGGCACTTCAAGGCAGGGTGTTTTTCCCTCAAAAATTATTGATTTTGGAAATTTGGATCTCAGCCACATGATGAACACACGTGATTCTGAGAGCAAGACTCAGTGATTTCATCAACAAAAAGAACTTTTTTGAAACCACATGTGAAACACTAACCCAACAACACTAAAAAGAGAACGACCACCAAACCAATGCAAGAAACATGCTTTAATACGTCCGCAGCATATGAACCATTATATATGTCTGTGAAGCTTTTGCTCCAAATAAGAAGTTGTTGTATTTTGGAATGGTTTCTTGGTGTGTCAATTTATTCAAGGCATTTTTCAAAACAGGGGAAGATTTGGTCTAATCCCGATCTATGGGCACTAAGCCATTCTCAAATATAGCCAGGCCACTCCCAAATATGCCAAAACTGATCAAACTCGTCAAAAAGAGAAACATGTTTCCCAAAGAGCTACAGTAATATAATATATGTTTATAGAGTTTGTTGGTGTTTGCGTTTTTTCAACTCTTTCTCACTTATATTTCATGTTTTTTTGATCAGTTCCACCAGAAGTTTGGTACTTCTCCATTGAACTTGCCATTCTATTGCGCGCATTGCTCGTTCTAATCCAAAGTCTTCTGTAAGAAACCGTTTGTTGCTTTTGAAACCTGTCATGCCGAACCACCAGCAGTCACCTAGCAAAGACTGCTCAGGCTGTTCTGAAACAATGGTGTGGGGACGCTAGTGCAGACTCTTCTGAAAAGATTTGGGACCACTTCCCAAAAGAAGGGTGAACAACAATTGAAGCTTGGTGCCATGATGTGCCATGTAGCCACACCGAAAAACGAGGGGACCTTAAAGAAAACTTAAAAAAAGTTGTATCGCAGAAAACTTCTTGATTCTCAAGACTCTTATAACGAAATCACCACCCAGAACCCGCTACTTGTACTGCCAGATCCGAGATTTGCTGGTTTGCCGGGAGTGTGTGGTTTGTGCTTCCAAGGTTGAGTCATTTTATTTCGCTGCTAGGTTCTTTGGGTTGCACGGTTTGCAGCTAGGGGTTCAAACTTTAAAAGATAGACTTTTCGGATTTGTTGCTGGTTTCATGGTTAAAGCGACGCCTTTGAGTGTTCTTGGATGATTTCCTGACTTTCTTGTGAACTCTGAATTCTGATTAGTGTTGTTTGTAGCTATGTGACATGTGAGTTTTTGTTTGACCCGTTGGAGAAAAGCAAAGTGTCCGCCTCATCACTCAAACCGTACAGAACAAACTCACCGCCACTACTCAAGACTTGTAATACTTACCAAAACCAGTGTCACCCTCAAGACTAAACAATGAAAATAGTAGAAAGTTCCCACTGTACAAGTTCAATAGCACCCCCGCCACCCGCACACAAACTTTGTAGTACAAAACCCATATTCATATATTGCGCAGGGTTCCACAAAAGTTCTTGCAGACTTCCACGGCCTCAGGTGCAAGATGCTTATCCTGATTTGTACCAAAAACACTCTAGTCTAAAGCAACATTTTTGAGTAACAGCTCTAATAATGAATTGTGCAGGTTTGAACATGTTACTCAAAAACGTTCATTTTGCTTGATTTCGGGCCAAATGAAGGAAGACGGAAGACCCATGACACCTGTTGATTCATTGAAACACTGCATTCCACAACATCTACCAAAATGACTGTTGCAAATACAATGCGCAGACCTTTGGAACAACATGATCATCGCAAACAAAACGACTATTAAGACTTTTTGACGGGAAGCATCTTGCACCTGAGGTTGTGGAAGTCTGCAAGAACTTTTATGTGTGGAACCTTGCGAGGTTCGACCCACAAGGGGCCCACAAGTATGTTGAACATGTCGATACGCCTCCAGAACTTCGTAACAAACCAGGCTCTTAAGCATGAAAGCTTGAGGGCAGACGGCAGTTATGGACTGACCAAAAGAGAAGCCACGAAATGTTCTTGAGGCTCCATTCACACATGCAGGCAACCCGTAAACCCACGCAAACCCGCACAACTCGTAAGCCCGCGCAACCTGCGTAAACCCACGCAAACACGTGCAATCCCCCAAACCTGGACAAACATGTGTAAGCCGCGAAAACCTGTGCAAGCACGTGCCAATTTGTAAGCCCACGCAATCAAATCCAGACACATATCCCGTCGCACTGCAAGTTGTTCGACATGAACGTGCAACATTTTTTCTCACCAACACTTTCGATGACGCAAACAGGCCGTTGGCCTGTTTGGATCCATGTATTTGCTCAGCCTCAATGCTGGAGATTGGGTCTCGAATCAGAGCGAACCCAGCGATTTGCCAGACCGTTCAGGTTCAGGCTCAGACATGTGATGAAAGGACCAGAAATCGAACGCCTTTGGTCTTAGCAGCACGAAGTTATATATATATATATATAATATATATATATAATGACAGGGGGCATGATGCTGTCTCTGAATGATTCCCCAGCAGCAATGGAATTCTGAATTGACAAACTGAACTATTCAAATGTCCAGTTCATGATTGAATCAGGCAATTCTTTCCAAAGGGCCGATCTAACGCATTAAGAGTGGCTATGTCCGCTGCTGCGCGGGGCAACCAATCCAAGCCAATCCGTAGACCCCATTGGTTTTCACCACTAGGCTGTGAGAGCCTTATTCGACAGCGTTTGATGCAGTGCCGTGAGAGCTTGGCTGATTCGCTTGGGCAACACCAGCTTTTCCTTTCACATTGAGGCTTTGACTACGGTGCAATTGTGCTTTTTGAGTCTCCGAAGATGGAGCCACGTGTGGAGTACAGCGCGCTGCCCTTGATCGTGGAGAAGGCTCGGGACAACTGGGGAATTTGCAAGGATGTTTATCCAAGGCCAGTTCTTTTCTACGTATGCGAGGAGTCACGCACACTCATACGAGCATCTGACTAGACTTCCGTACATGTACGGCAATTACTTGCCATTGATCATAACTGTGCATAACGGATAGGGTCGAACCCTATGCCCTTCCTTGATTGAAAGTAGCTCATTGCCTGCATTTCAATAATTACTAGAATCCGACAATAGGAGCCAACCCCAAATACTTTTGCATTGAGGACATGAAGAAGATTTGCTGTCCACCACTCATATGTTTGGCAGAGCAGGTGAAGCAGCGAAGCACAGGTGCATTACTGTATGTCTTTTTTGAAACGCATGTGTCCACTGAGCACACCAGACCTCATAAGATATATGCATGCAAGAAGCGCAAAGGTCCAGCTCTTGCTACGGAGGTCTTTCCTGTAAAGCAATGGCGCTTGGTGGATCACCACGAAGCACATGCGCGGATGAGCTTTTTCGATTCACCTTTTCAGCAAGCGCTGATTTTGAGCTATGATGGTGGTGGCAATGACGGACTGATGGGAAGGGTCTGGATATGTCAGATATGTTGAGTGGGCTGATATGCACGTTCTCAGATTGCAAAGGAGTTTTCAATGTCTACTACGGCCAAGAGAAGACTGTCCTCCGTCTTGGCCAACTTGGCATTGATTTGGGTGAGAGAGACTTGCCTGAGACATGGGTTGGATATACAGTATATATATATAGTTAGAAATCTATCACTTGCTACATTTTTTAAATACATACTGTAGCTTGTAGCTATATAATACCACACATAGGAGAAAAGCCTTCAAATCACTCACCAGAGGTTGAGTCCATGTCCAATTCTATTTTCCCTTCCTTGTTCAGCGGGAGATTTCCGAACCCATCCGAATATAATTAGAGGGTACTCATGGTTAAGGACAATTACAGGCCGATATGAAGCACTTGGCAACAAACCGCTCTCATGGAGGAACTCTTGTACCACCCCATGCACAGTGGAGCTCCCAGTCGCACCTGCCCAGGATATGCCACTATTGGAGCCATGATGATGCTCGCAGTCAAATAGCCCCCGTATTGTTGTATTCCTGTACGGTGACAAATCACGCTTGGCAGCGTGTGGTCTAAAGCAACACTCCCGCGGTAAAGTGCAGAATCCTAGTACGTGAAGATGTGCTGCGAAAGTGCAAATTGAGACAATTGAGTCAATTGAGCCTTGTCGGCCTTGTCGGCTTGGAGTGAATATTCTTTGGACATGGACAAAATCAACGGCTTTCCAGGACTGAAATCTCCAGCCGTGAAGTGGATGCTAGCTTCTTGGAGGCAACGACTTGGGTCTGTCTTGCTTGACCATGGAGTCAGTAACCACGCTCTTACAAGGGTCGATACTTTCTGGTTTCTTCGTTGTGAGGTATGAGTATGTAACAATGGATATGTAAGATACTGTACCGAGATCGCCAGCAGATCATTTTGGTCAGTCTGTCAGTCTTCTGATTGCGTCCTCATCTGGAGAATCCCCGATATAGAGGCTGGCTTCAAAACGGCCGTTCGCGAGTGTCTTGACGGCTGTGCTCATTTCCCTTCTGCTCTTATACATGGTACCCCGCCCCCGGGGATAAAGACTAGTCACCACCTTTGACGGTTCCGTAGTGTTTGGCTCTAGTGACGGTTGATGGCAGTTTGTAAGGGCTGCTTCAACCGATTAGGCCAAGCCGTGGGTACATCGGGGCATTGTAATCCCTGCTACTTGGCCACTCGTATAGAACGGGTGGTGTTGACGCGGTACCCTCCCGCGAAAGCTGCTGAGTTGACACATTACCTGGCAAAGGTACTCAACAACCTCGAGGCTGACACCGAGGCCTTCGAGACCGACAAGACCTCTGGCGTGGTAGATCAACAGGGGTATTTGATCGAGAAGAAGGACACCAAGGTCAGGCCTCCCTTGCAGCTCGCCGCGGGGGAACACCCTGGTGACCAACACCCTCAAGCCGCATCAGCTGGCGTGAAGAAGGAAAAGCAGGCAGAGGCAGAGGTTGGCACTCCTGGTTCATCGTCCCGGCATAGGCGTCGACGACGAGAGGAGAAGGGAAAGTCAAGGAGCAGGAGTCGAAGGCGGGACCGCCGAAAGACCAAGAAGGAGGCTACTCCCGAACCGGAGCAGGAGGTTGCAACAGAACCGGAGGAAGAGCAGGAGGAGGCCGCGATCGAAGCAGAGGTTGAGACTGAGGAGAACGAGGAGGTGAGTGAAGAGCCATCTCAACAAGACGACGACGTCAGCCCAGACACGGAGGTCGCCAGAGACCCAGAGGGGGCGGGACTTAGGAAAGTTCCACCAAAGCCATCGGCCCGAAAGCCGTTACCGAGAAGGCCGCGCACTCCATCGAGATCACCACCGGGATATCGTGGACGGCAGCAAGAGCCTACAAAGAAGTGGAAGGGTGTCAAGCACATCATACGGGGGCAAACCCTGGGATACAGCAGCAAGGGGCGACCGTGCAAGGGAAAAGGTAAAGGAAAATGGCACCGAAGATGAGGAGGCCCGCCAGAGCCGGAGAGCCCGATCGCTTGAGACGAGGCCTACGTCGACCTGCCGCTCATCGAGAGGACGTTGGAGCTCGGGGCGAAGAAGCCCTGCCTTGGGATCCGAGTGTGGGAGATCTGGTGGTCGCAGAGGGAGCGCACTACTACGGCGCTCCGTGTCGCTTCACCGGTCGCATCCTCGAGGACACGAGGGACGCAGCTGGGCGCCACTTGAGCATCCGACTTCACGGCACCGATCACGAACCCCTTTTGACATGGGCCACAGGAGCCACGACCTCCGCCCGTGTTCATCTATGCCCAGAAGGTTGCTCGAGGGAAGCCGAAGGCCCAGGCCTTATACACTGCAGCGACCTCCGCAGCATCAGGTCATTAGAGGAGTTAGTCGGAGTCCCTTGGCGAGACGTGTTGCTGGAGGGGCGACCAAAGGCCGAGGACGAGCTGGCAGGGTTGAGGAGCAGAATGGAGGCAGTCGGGGGACCAAGCCCTGGGGCAGCAGCAGCGGCGGCGGAGATCGAAGAGAAAGAGAACAAGGAAAAGGAGGACAAAGAGAAAAAGAAAGAAAAGAAAAAGAGAAAGAAGAAGCGGAAGAAAAGTCGCTCCCCGAGGTCAAAGAGCGGGGAATCAAAGAGAGGGAGGTCAAAGAAAAGAAAGAAGGAAGCGGGGAGAGACCCTGGCAGTTCATCCAGTTCAACGAGCAGTTCATCCACCGTGGAGTTCAAAGAGGTCCCGCAGGAAGTGTTGTTCCGGGGGTCGGGGATGGACCCTCACGTCCGCACCCGGAGGAAACAGCGACGCCGAGCTCAACGCATGGCCCGTCGATCTCACCGCCGATCGCGCGGGACATGACTCGGCTGGGAGGGATTGACGAGGTGACAGAGGATTTTGAATGGAGCTCTTTTTCATAGACTATAAGGGTGATGAGGTCAAGACAGCGCAGCAATTCACGTGGAAGAACATCAAACCCGCCATACCCCGAGAAATTGGTGTGGTGGAGTTGAAGAACATTTGTGAGCAGGGCTGCAAGCACTACATTGAAAATTTTCCAGACTTCCTCAAGCCATCCCATGAGTGGGAGCAGGTGCGCAAGGCAAGAGTCATGGTAGCTGATAGGGACTGGACAGAAGTAGCAACTGGTCTGCTCGAAGCCGGTATTTTCGGGGTTGTCCCTGAGTCGGAGGTCTTTAGGGTGCATGGGAGACCATTACTTAACGGACTTTTTGGAGTGGAGAAACACGAAGAAGTGGAGGGCACCCCTGTTTACAGGTTAATTATGAATCTGGTGCCACTCAATGCCCTGTGTCAAGGGCTGCACGGGGATATCACTACCCTGCCACACTGGTTCGGAATGACGCCTTTCCACATCGAACCGCATGAGTCCGTGGTAGTATCAAGTGAAGATCTTCGGTGTTTCTTTTACACCCTGCGGCTACCTAGTTGCTGGTACCCCTTCTTATGCTTCAACAAGAGACTACCGCCGGAGCTGGTGCCTCCGGAACATCGGGGCCAACCCTGCTATCCTTGCTCAAAGGTATTGCCCATGGGTTTCCTGAACAGCGTTGGTATAGCACAGCACGTTCACAGGGTTCTGGCTATGCGCTCACAGGTTCACAACCAGGTGCGTGATACCGTGTCACAGGAGATACGCAAAGACAGGATACTACCGGACGGGGCGACAGTCTGGCGCGTTTATCTCGACAATTATGATCTGCTAGAGAAGTACCCTCACGAGGTGCTAGGAGGCCTGGTCGAAGAGGACGCCCCGGAAGTACTGGCCCTGAGGCAGGAATACCAGGCATGGGGACTCCCCCGCCATCCCGGCAAAGCAGTGAGTCGGAAGACAGTCGCCGAAGTACAAGGAGCAGTTATTGACGGAGAACGGGGCATCGCGTACCCTAAGGGGCAGAAGCTATCAAAGTATGTCACCATCGCCTACCAGTTGGTGAATGAGACTCACTGTTCACAAAGGCAGATGCAGGTAGTGTGCGGTGGTCTGGTGTATTTCTCCACTTTCCGTCGACAACTTCTCGGAGGGCTGAACCTCTGCTGGGCGTTTATTGAGTCGTTCAACTCTTGTGGGCGTTACAAACAGCTCATCCCGAATGGAGTCAAACTGGAGATTACTCGTTTCCTGTGTCTAGTCCCTCTCTGCCGCATGGACTTCCGCCTGACGATGAACCCAAAGGTCACCTGCAGCGATGCCTCACAGCACGGGGGAGGTGTCTGCGTAACTACGGGGAGAAGGTGGCCCTGGGTGAGGAACGTCGAGAGATGGTGGCTTTCGGCGGACCAAGGATCTTGAGCATCGGTCTCTTCGATGGGATCGGATGTCTCAGGGTCGCCCTGGATCTACTTGGGTGTGACGTGATAGGCCACATCTGTGTTGAGAAAGACGCTGCAGCCCGGAGGGTAGTTGAGCACCACTTTCCAGACAGCTGGCACTACGACGACGTTGCGGAGATCTCGGAGGTCGACGTGCAGCGTTGGGCGTTACGCCGTTACGCTATGGGCAAGCATCGCTGATCCTGATTGGAGCGGGACCCCCATGTCAGGGAGTCTCAGGACTCAACAGCCAGCGAAAGGGGGCATTGCGTGATGAGCGGTCGTCATTGTTCGTTCACGTCAAGCGGTTTGCGTGAGTTGGTACAGTGTTTGTTTCCTTGGGGACTCCACTGTTTGATGGAGAGCGTAGCATCCATGGATGATCGTGACAAGAAAATCATGTCAGACTCGTTCGGGGATCGACCCTGGGAGATCGACGCTGGAACGATTTGCTGGTGCAGCCGACCACGGCTGTATTGGATAAGCTGGGAACTCAACGATCATGGGGACGATGTGGCGATCGACGGCAGGCACGTGACACTGACGGGGCATCAACCCTGGTCAACATCAGTCGAAGCCGGCTGGACAAAGGTCGACGAGGACAGACCCTTCCCTACATTCACCACATCAAGACCACGCACAACTCGGGGACATCGCCCTGCAGGCCTGGACACGTGCGACAAAAGTACCATCGCTCGGTGGGAGGAGGACCTTCACAGGTTCCCGCCTTATCAATATATTCCCCGAAATTGTGTGGTCAACAAACGCGGTGAATACAGGCTTCCGAACATTCGCGAACGGGAGTACATGATGGGGCTACCAGTAGGTTACACTCAGATGTGCATGCCCAAGTCGATGCGAAAGCACGCCGATTGCCTTGACAAGCGGCTGACGTTGGTCGGGAATGCCTGGGCCGTGCCAGTGGTAAGCTGGCTTCTTGGGCAACTGGTAGGACCTCGGGGGGGCTGGATCCCTGCTATCTCCCGCTGAAGTTCTCTCTCGGCTCACCTTGGAAGGGAATCCCTTCATCCAGTCGCGACTGTTGCGGCCCCCGCTGCAGACTGATCAGCGTGTGAGTACAGGGTCCGAGGAGGCCTTGGCACAGCAATTGGGTCGCCTGGTTTCCACGAAAGGGTCAGATCTTATGATTACGGCGGCGCAAGATGAGATCCAGAGCTATCAGCGGCTTCGACACACGGTCAATGCAAAGATGTGGCGATGGAAAGTTGTATCAGGCTGGAGGTGGCGTACACCAGGGGAGCATATAAACTCGCTGGAACTCAGGGCTATTTTGGCTTGTCTCCGGTGGAGATGTGAGCATTTGAGGGAGCATGGATGCCGTATCATTCACCTCACGGATTCCCTTGTATGCCTTCACAGTCTCACCCGTGGAAGGACTTCATCTCGCCGATTACGCAGAACCCTTTGCCGAATCAACTCGCTTCTATTGGCTCACAACCTTGGTGCCCTATGGGGCTATGTTCATACTGACCTGAACCCGGCGGATTAGCCGTCGCGGTGGTCAGTGAAGACTAAGTTTAAGCATGCCAAAGGTCGTACTTGAGGGAACCACTCAGGCCAGTAGAGCGAGAGAAAGGCAAAGGTTAGGTACACTGAGAGGCCTTACGGTCCAACCCGCCACACGTGTGAGATATGATCGTGCTTTGAACCGTTTCCTGGCCTTTCTCAAAGAGGAAGGACTGGAGTTGCCCACTCGTCGCAGTTTCTTAGACCCTCTCGTGATGGAATACATAGAACACCTCTGGCGCACCGGGGAGGGGCGTGGACTGGCCGCCGATACCCTGGCGTCATTGCAGGACTTTGACGCGAAAATTCGGGGGCAACTCCCTGGAGCCTGGCGCCTCGTAAAGACATGGGTCACGCATGAATTGCCAAACAGGGCACCACCCATGCCCGAGACCATCCTCCACTCCATGGTGGGATGGAGCTTGTATCATCAGCATTTCTCTTTTGCAACCAGCCTTTTACTTTGTTTTTATGGCACCCTTCGCACTGGTGAATTGCTGGATGTTACCAAGAGTCGGATTGATGTTTCTGAAAGCCTCCGAGTAGCTGTCGTCAGTTTAGGCATGACGAAAGCCGGCAAGAGGGCCGGCGCACAGGAAAGTGTCACGGTGGGGCATGACACAGCCTTCCGTTACCTGCAACACTGGATGTCGCTTGCTAGTACACACCAACGACTTTGTCCGCCAGCGGCCCGTTGGCGCAAACTGTTTAAAACGTGCGTAGAAGCCCTGCACCTGGAACCCCTTGACCTCAGACCATACTCTCTCCGAGGGGAGGGGCTACATGGTGGTTCTGCCAGCATGGAAACCTAGATCGGGTAATGCTTCTAGGACGCTGGCAGGCCCAAAAGACGGCCCGTCTTTACCTCAACGAATCGAGAGCAGTCTTGACAGAGATGCAGCTAGGTCCTTTTCAGCATTTTTTGACACCGTACCGTACTTTCTTTGCTCATGCCACCCCCAAGTCTTTTAAAACACTTGAGCCGCTGCAAAGCAGCAGGCCGTCCGCCGGTACTCGGCGGCTCGGGGGACGTGGAAAGAAGGGTAGAAAAACCCTTAAGAGACCTTCTAGAAGCTCTTGAAGAGCCGGAAAAAAGGTTCACTTTAAACTCCCCAGGACCTGGCCAGGGACTGGGGTCTGGCGGTTGGGGGGGAGGGTTACCCGGGTACGTCCCCTTCTTTGTGTAGTGGACCAAAGAAGGGGGGGGGGGTAACCATCCCGGTCTGCTTCTTTCGTATTTTTCCCTGATTGTTTACCATTATTTTGACAAACCTGCTGCAGAGCGAACTAGAAAAGGAGGCTGACAAGTCTTTATATATACACATACGTATTTATTTATCTATTCGCCTTTGCTACATTTCCCTAGGTTGCAGCAACTATGTTGCGAAGCCTGCCAGCCTGAACCTGCCTCCTGATGCTCTGGTTGATTTGGTGCATCTTGGATTTCGACTGACTGGTGCAGATGGTGAGCCGGATGATTGATGCTGATTGTACAGTTTCTTAGCCGTCAGCTCTCTGAAACATTGGTTTGATACAACGTCCTGGGGTTGACTCCTTTTGAAAAAGCACCGGTGTGTTGACGAGTTTGATCCAAACACCATACCTTGTCAATTGGTGCAAGTTCATCCCGGTTTGGCTCACTGGAAGCCGACCCGACCCGTGATGCATTCCGCCCAGGTACGGGTATAACTTCTCCATGATTGTTGGCTGCATTTGAGATAGAAAAACTTGGCGGTTTGAGGCTCTTGCTGCTCGTGCTTGTTTGGACTGAACTAATACTTGGACTTTTCGACCTCGCAGCGGACCGCGTTTCGTCCGGAGAGGTTTTCTAGTGGCCACAGAGAACCTCCCAAGGATTGATCATCTCAGCTGGACAGGAAAGCTTATGGCCTATGCGTCTTTGGGGGTTCCAAGTCCGGACATCGAAGCTCTGATGTCGAAGTACTTACGAAACCACGCTCAAGGCACGCAGAAAAAGAAGACACCGAAGCTGTAAACCGGTGAACTTAGATCATTTGGACATGACACTCATTGTAGTAGAAGGGTTCGTGACTTCAAGAACCTCTGACCAACAGACGCCAGCTTGCTGGCTTTGGACTTCAAGGATTCAACGGCTTTCAAGCTTTTTCCCGAATGCGTAGCGAAGGGGGTCTGGGGGTAGAGCCTTGTTCGCGACCCGTTGTTTCTATGTTCGCAACCGTCCGCAACCGTTCGGAACCGTCCGCAACCGTCCGCAGGTGTCCGCAGTAGAGCGCTAAGGCGCTGCCATTGGGGGAAGCTTTTGCAAGTGACTTTTCATGGATGTGTCACGTGTCAGTTTGCGACGCAATTCCATTGTGGTTTGCGTGAAAATGACATGTCGCGCAAGAAGCGTGATGCATTTCGCTGCACAGGCGCAGCGTTTTGTGAGATCCTCAGTTTGCTACGCAGTTCCATTGGGATTAGCGTTTGGAGAGTCGTGTTTTTGGGGCGTTGGGTGTGGCCGTGCCATTGGGATTTGCGTTTCAGGGTGTGGCATCGAAGCTCTGTTTTCGTGATCAGTCTCAGCTGAAATGGCGATTTTGGTGGATAGGAGTGTGTTCAGAACGGGCCGAAATCATTCCAAACGTGTGGTGTGGTGCAAATTTTGTTGAAGCTCACATGAGATGATATTGTCACTTTTCGTGGCAGGCGCAGTACTTTGTGCGGATTTTGAGGTGTGGAAGTGCGATTTTCGTGGCAGGTGCAGGGAATCGTGAGGTTGCGAGGTGTGACGGAGGTGACATTTCGTGGCAGGCACAATACTTTGTGCGCGTTAGACGTGTGGATGCGGAAAGATTCGTGGCAGGCGCAGGGAATTGTGTGTGGTAGAGGTGAATATCGCTGTCACAGTGGGCGTGTGAGCGGGTATTGTTTGGAGGGGCTGGACTCGCAAAACTGCTTGGCAGGGCTGCGTGATTTGGAGGAAGTCTCGTACGAAATGCTCGTTTTGCAGACTTTGACATGTGAGTTTTGGAGGAAGTCTCGTACGAAACGCTCGTTTTGGAGACTTGGCACGTGACTTTTGGAGGAAGTCTCGTACGAAACGCTCGTTTTGGAGACTTGACATGTGACTTTTGGAGGAAAAGTCTCGTACGAAACGCTCGTTTTGGAGACTTGGCGTGTGACTTTTTGGAGGAAGTCTCGTACGAAGAGTGCCCTACAAGAGTGTCCCACAAGAGTGTCCTACAAGAGTGTCCCACAAGAGT